GTACAAAGACTAGGTGGCTTGTAAACAATAAAAATTTATTTCTCACAGTTCTGGAGGCTGGGAAGTCCATGATCAAGGCATCAGCAGATTTGGGGACTGGTGAGGGCTGCTTCCTGGTTCATAGACGGTTATCTTCTTTCTGTGTCTTCAAATAATGAAAGGGGCAAGAGAGCTCTCTGGGGCCTCTTTTTGTTTTTCTTTTTGCGGTACGCGGGCCTCTCACTGTTGTGGCCTCTCTCGTTGTGGAACACAGGCTCCGGACGCGCAGGCTCAGCGGCCATGGCTCACGGGCCCAGCCGCTCCGCGGCATGTGGGACCTTCCCGGACCGGGGCACGAGCCCGTGTCCCCTGCATCGACAGGCGGACTCTCAACCACTGTGCCACCAGGGAAGCCCCGGGCCTCTTTTTTAACGACACTAATCCCATTCATTGGGGCTCCACCCTCATGACCTAATTACCTTCCAAAAGCTTTCAAATATCATCACATTGGGGATTAAGTCTCAATATATGCATTTGGGAGGGGCACAAACATTCAGTCTATAGCATTGTGGTTTAGTCAGGGTATCTGGCAAATCCCACAATTGCCTCAGTAAGGCAGGCTTTACGAGGCTGCTGTAGCTGATGTGGAGATTCAGAGCTTCTTCTCTCTTAGGCCTGAACACCCCCTCTTGGTTTCTTCCCTAGGCATGTTGCCTAGTCTCTTCAGTGGGTAAGGGAGGGGTATGTGAGAGGACCCAACTGGCTCAATTATAATTATTTTGGTAATTCTCCAAAACTAAGGTGATCAAATAATTTATGTTCCAAACTGAGACACTTTTAATTATTTTGCCAAGACATTAGGCATCACTGGGACTGTCACCCTATCTACAACACACTCTCAATCTTTGTATTTATTGGCTGAATTTGGAACTTCTCTGGGGCTCCATTGGGAAAACAACTCTTCTAAGTCTTTTGGCTAGCATTGTTCCTATCTTTTTTTATTATTTTTTTGGTCAAATTGATCCCATCTGATTTCTATTTTATTTTGTAGACTTTCTTTAAAATTTATGAGCCTCTGATAGCCCCATTCTTATTTTCCAGCACTGTTATGTTTTTATTCTTAAAAAAATATTTTCTGTCATTTCAGTGGGACCTGAGAGGTAAGGGAGGTAGAAGGACATGCTAACTTGAACTGGAAGTTCTTTTATTCCACTGTAAACATACTCTGGTTTACTATATTTTATACATCCATGTGTATCACTTACTTGTTTTTGGAACCAGACACATTTAGTGATACCAGTTGTGCAGGAATGAGCTTACTGTGTTAACTCATAAATCCCTTGATGAGCACTTTCCTTTCATTCCTCTCACACCTGGAAGGATGCCTACAAAATGTTGGGCATTAAGTCACTGAACCTCTGAGCAATCCATAGTGGGCGTTGTTTATGGGGGATTTGTGCTCTGCTTCCCCTTCTTGCAGGATGTAACTTATCGCCAACAAGGGTTTATATCCCCTCATGCACTGTTGTAGCACATGGAAGAATGTAAATTCCTACAAAGATAATTCAGGCCTAGTATATTCAGGTTAAAGGCAGAAAACTGTAGGGATTTAAAACCCAAAGCCAGAATTTTGCAGAGCTTAGTGAAGGGATGGAAAATCTTCTCCCAGAATTTATCCATGAAGGCTCAGTTCAGAAAGATAATACTTAATGGAAGTATAGAGACAAAGATGAAGTCTTAATAAGAAGATTTTAGAAGGAAAAAGAGGAGAGGACTTCCTGGCTCTGACAAGGTCTCGTGGGATAAGAGCAATGTGGATACCCAGGAGAGGATCCAAACTTTCCCAGCACAGAAATTACTCCTTTGGCCACTTTGGGAAAGGGCTATTCTCAGTCTTTGGGGAGGGTGGTTACATGGAGACACTGGACAGGAGTCAAGATTCTGGTGTTTGGAATAAGTAAAATTAGACACAGAACTGTGGAATTCTATGCTTGGATGTGCTTCATATAAATGTGAAATTTAAAAATGATCATCATCTGAATGTATATGCTCTAAACTAAAGCCATCAATATACAAGTTAGCACGTCTGACTTTTGATTTAAGCTAAAGTTAATCTGTAAATTACATGCAGGAGGCCAGTGGGCCAGGTTAGCCTTCGCCATGCAGAAGAGACCCCCCCCACACCAACCCCAAGTAATATCCACTGTTTTCCTGTCGGCAGTTTTACTATGCCTGGGTTAAGGTGGGGATGAATAAACAAATCATCTATCTTTCTAAGCTTTTAAGTCTCTCAGCCTCCAAAATTCCATTTTGGGCTTTGATATTTTTGCTCTTTGTTGGGGAATGATGAGAGAGGATGATGCTTTTATAGTCAGACTTTGAAATCTTTCTTTCAGGGGATGGTTGGTTGAGAGGTTGCTTCCTGGTGGCTTCTCAATTTCAGAGTTATACACAGGGAACTGACTTTATTAGATGGTAAAGAAGGAAGCCATGTAGGTGGATATCAAACAGATAAACACTCTACAAATAGTAGGAGCCCAACCATAACCAAAGACAGGGTGTCATTTGTCAGGAGCAGTCCTCAGAGGTGAACTTCATACTTGAAAGCTGAGCCACAGGGACTGTAGAGACATTTAGATTCCTCTTGGAATTTTGGGAAAAGGGAATCAGTTCTTATAACTCGTGGTGCCTGGTATACAGGGAGCAGGTGGTAAGATATTCTCCTATCTCCCTTCTTTCCCTGTTCATCTCTGTCTTCTTTCTCATCTTCCTTCTACTTCCAGCTCTCCTTCTCTTTGCTTTTCTCTTGCTCTTCCTTTCCTCATCCCTACTTTCCACTCTCCAGTCTCCTTTATCTCTGTGGTTGTATGTACCTTCTCTAAAGTCAGACTCTTACCACATCCCTATACTTTTTACAATCTGTCACTTACCCAGGTGGGGAACTGTGGGATTAAGGGACTCCCAGGTTGAGATGGTCAGGTTATTTACTAGGAGAGTCCAACATTGCTGTCTGTTGGTTACTTGGCTGATCTTCCTTCCATAGCTTTCATTACTCCACCGTTACCCTTTTGCCAACTCTGGATTAAGTAAACATGGAGCAAGAACGTGCTACCCTTACTACAAAAACATGCTCTGCTGGTGTTTCTGGGGCATTGTCTCTTCTTGCCCTCTACAAATTTTAATTTCTGCACTATGATAATCTTTGGGTTTGTTGTCCTATGGTTTTGTTATTTGTACTTGCTTCCAGGTGATATAGAAGTGTCCCCTGGCAGTAGCCAGAAAAATTGGGGCACCAGAGAAGGCTATAAGCTCCTTTCTGGAAGATCCTGGTGAGCTGGAGCGAGGCAGAGAGAGAGCACAAAGATTGTGTCCATTGGCCTCCATTCCCTGAGAGCCTCTCCATAGTCCCATGTAAGAGTACCAAACCAGAAGCCTGCCCCACAGGCCAAAGCTTTTGGACGGGCAAACGGGCCTCTTTCTCAGAAAGACTGAGAATGTGTTTCAGTCAGCTGTCTGTGCAGTGCCCTGGGGGTGGTAGTCTGCCAAGAATAGAATCTTTGATTGTTACAGTCCCATGGGATCCAGAAACATAAGCCCATGGGCTTCAGAGTCAGGCAATCAAGAAGTGTTCCCTGGGTGGCAGCTGTGAAAACCAGGATCAGATGTAAAAACTGGGGCACCAGGTGTGTGTTGACGCTCCCCTCCAGGAGATCCTGGGGCTCTGCAGTGTGGCAGAGGGGGAGTGCAAAGACAGCACCCAGTGGAAAATAAAAATAAAAAAAAAAAAAAGAAAAGAAAAGAAAAATAAGAAAAAAAAGACAAGGGGGAAAAAGAATAAAGGAGGAAAAAAAAAAAAGATGGCGCCCGTCCACATTAGCAAGGCAGAGGGAGATCAGGGAGATGGTACCCACCAGCAGCCGTCCCTGGAGAGTATCCCAGAGGTCCGTGCCCCTTAGACCAATGCTTTAAAATTAGTGAGTCTTTTTCTGGTGCTTTTCAAAGGGCTGCTTCTGTGCTGGGCCCTGGGATGGGTCTGCCTGAGGGCACTTAAAGAGCTCTTCCTCAGTTTGCCACAGCCCTGCCCCACTGGTCTTCAAAGCAGATGCCTTGGAGGTTGTCTCTCAGGTACCTGTCTGAAAAGTGGGGGTGCCCGATGTGGGGTCTGAACCCTTTGCTCCTCGGGTTGAAGCTCTGGGTTTTGAGTTGCCTCCCACTTTGTCTGAGGGTGGGGTTTATAGTGAGATTGTGTCTCAGCGTTTCCTACCTGCTTTGATTGGTTTCCCTCTTGTTTGCCCAATGTGAAGGGGTCTCTTAGCCAGTTTCTAGGTTTTGTTCTGAGGAAATTGTTCCAGATATATCTGTACATTCAGTATGTCCATAGGAGGAGGTGAGTTCAGGATCTTCCTAAGTTGCTACCTTGGACCGGGACTCTACATTTGCTTTCAGAAGAGATTTTATTTTTTTGGCCACTTCCAGCTAAGGGTAGGTCTCAGTCCCCTGATAATGTAAAGTTCCTCTCAATATGCATGGGTTGTTTAGAAATATCATCTTTGGCTCCGTGACTATAAAGCCAGTGACCTCACTGGCCACTTCAGTATGGTTTTGTTTGGCTATGTTATATCTTGTAACTCTGAAGCAAAAAAACAAAAAAACAAAAAAAGATTCCTTTCCAGTGTGGCATTTGACTTTTAGCAGCTCCTTCTTTTTTAGGAACTACTTGAAGTTAACAGAAAGGGTCTTTGTGGAGTTGAAGGGATATAGAAATTGGAGACACATACTGTTTTGCTTTATGGCTGACATCAGAAAGACAATGAAAAACATTTCAGCTTTCCATTTTGGGATTTTCCAATACACGTTCCAACAATTTAGGCTGGAAAAAAACCAATGCCCTTCAAATTTCAAAAGAAAGAATTCTTATAACCTTGATGACAATCAAAGTAACCTATTTGATATTAGTTTAAAGAGTTGTATGTTTCTTTTGGTTGAAAATTTAATTTCATACCTGATTTCTCTCTCTTTAGAAGTGGAACGGATAGTAAAAGCCAATGACCGTGAATATAATGAGAAGTACCAGTACACAGTGAGTAAAACACTCATAGCACACACATGCTGGGGTAGGTCTGATCTTAAGGATAGTAGGATTCTTGCCTTCTAGAACTTTGATTTCACTAAAAACTTTGTTGGTCCATTTTAATAGCAAGGTGCCGCATGTTTCCATAAATTCAGATTTTAGTAATGTTTATACATTTATTTCTATTCTGCGCGGAGTGGTTGGTATTCATATTGGTATGGGAATAAGATGAAGTACCTTCTTTCTCAAGAATTTATGCTTAATTCATCTTGGTGCCCATTGGGCACTCAAATAATGTAAGAATACTGTGAAAGCAGGCCTCCATGGTAGTACTTGGTGATAGAAGTGGTAATTAGTGGCTGATGGGTGATGAATAACATTTGGGGATTTTCTCAAAGCAACTGGGGCTGAATGTGGAAAAGTGCATGTAGGAGAAAGTTCCTAGACCTGAATGATTGTATTTATCAAGTGAGCAGTGAGAATGATTAGTTAAAATGTGTGATCTTTAAGCTTGTACTGAACTACTTTTTTTTTTTAACGAGAGTTTTCTTCATTCACATAAGAAATATTTATTGAGAGCCTCCTAAGTGACTGGCACTAGTCTAGAAACTTGGGATACTCCGGTGAGCACTTTGTGAATTATTTCATGGGCCCTCATAAAAATCTCCTCATCTTTCCTTGACTCAACCTAAGTTGCTACATGAAGTTTTTTAAATAAGTTCTAAGAAAGATAACTGGTAGAATTGATGCTGTGGGTGACATGTGGCCTAGAAGACCTGCTGTGATTGTGTATACCAGCACATTAATGAAGGAAAGTCTCAATTCACAGAGGGGTTTGATGACTATAAAAGCATAGAAATGTAAGTGTCATGGGGTAAACTTTGGCAGTCTCCATCTAGGAACTAGCTAGAGGAGAGAGAATTTTGGCCAATGGATTATTTTTAGTATTTAGTTTCTGTTGGCAGTGTTTCTCCATACATGTGGAAGGCTACATTGGGCTATTATAGCTTGATACAAGTAGAGGCAGCTAACAACCGCTCTTTTCTCATACTGTGATAATCACGTAAACTTGTGATTATAATTTGATGTTCAATGTAAGTGTCTCTACAGGGAGTCAGCACACTGCCTCTGTGACAGATTTCTCATTAAAGTAATATATTGGCACCCTGATTTTATTCATCAGTCTTGTGAGCTTGGTTCAAGTAAATCTGTCCTTGAAAGAAGAAGCCCTCGCAGGAGGTTGATGAATATGCTTTGTTGCCAGGGGTTGGGGGGCGGGGGACTACCTTCTCCATGGTGATTAATGCCACTCTGTGCAGCCTCCTGACCGCTGGTCATTTAGCCCTTCTGGTCATCACGAGACTTGGCCCCATGCCTTTCTATCCATTCTACCACTAGTTCTTTAACTCTAGAGGATGACCCTTGAAAGCCTTGACCACCAAACCCTAAATCAGAGGAGTAGATGTCTATATTTTAAGACCTTGGGGGCAAAAACCCAGTAAGAAGTAATCTACTACTGGGTAATTATGCATTTACGTACTTGGCTTTATCCTTATTTTCCAATGTGTAAGAGGTATTTTCATTCTGTGAGTAGTAACTAGATAAGGAAAGCCATATTTTGTCTGCATTTTGTAAGATGATACAGTCTTTTATATTTATAGTTATTTTTACTTAATTTATGAAATATTTCAAACTTAGAAGAAAGTACAGGGAATAATATGACACCTGTGTGCCTACCACCCAGATTAAATAGATGTTAACCATTTGCCACATTGGCTTTTGATTTTTCTTTTAATAATAACATGCCAAGGATACAGAGATGGTTTTCTCTTGAGCTTGCATGATATTGAACAAAAGCACACAGGTGTGTAGCTGGGGCTGGGTTTTCTGTTGGGCTTCCTAACAATGACAAGGCAGTGGAACAATATTCTGGAGCTACAGCAGACGGAATAAGGCAGCTTTATCTTGGAGTTAAAACATACTAAGGAAAAAACCAAAACCCATTATGGGCTGGCAAAACCAAGAATGACAGCAAAAGTTGAGAAAGGGAAGGTGCAGAGCAGAGAGGGGCATGCGTATCTCAGGTCTAATGACCCCTACCGTGGCTCAGAGGGTATGAGCCAGGCCCTCCTAGAATGAGCAAGGGTCCCCACTAGACCTGGCTGGTGGTGTGTTGATTTGGGAACTCCCAACAGGATGTCTGGCCAGACAGTGAGCTGTGGAACCCTTCTCAGCCCCAGCCTATTCAGATACAAATTGGGGATATTAAAAGTACCTATTTCATAGAGTTACTGAACAGACTGAAGTAGAGTAACACACAATGACTCTATGAGCTAGTCTTTATAGAGGTGGGATTTGAATCTATATCTATCTGATTTTTAAGGAGTTTTGAGCACGTCCTACGTGGACTATCCTTTTAAGAAAGGCAGAACCCACGGGTCTTTTGCTCAGTCTTGCCTAGTTTAAAGGGTATTACTGCAAATGGAAGTGGATTTGAAGAAACCCCAACAGATCTCAGCGTGAATGCTTATAATAATTGATGAAGTAGTCTTCCCCCATAAGGCTGAAGAGGAGATGGGAATAAACTGAAAATTATAAAAAAGATGAAAGGAGAAATGGTGAAGTTTCCTCAAATGTAGTGGAAAGAGTGTTTGGGGATAAGATAGACCACAGTTTGAATCTTTTCTCTTTCTCGTTTGCTAACTTGTGATCTTGATTTATTTATTTTTCTGCGTATCACTAATTTTACCTGTGAAATGGGGAATTTTCCTTATAGGATTATCTGCCAAAGGGTTAAATGAAATAATTTATATAAATATTTGAAAATAGTAAGACTAGCTAATATGTATTAGATGCTTACTATGTACCAGGCTCTATGCTAAACTTTTTATATGGATTTTTTCTTTAACCTAACATGGCTGTGGGCAAGTATGCACGATAAATTTTAGATTCCCTATAAAGTACTGGATAAAGTAAGATATCAGTGAAAATAATGTTCGGAAGATACTGAGACGTTGACTAAAGTTGTAAACTTTTTGCAGCAGATATCATGCTGAAAAGCTAGCAAATCTGTGATACTGAAGGTGTGGACGTTGCTGATGAATTATGCAGGGAATGCAATAGCAGAGATACAAATGCACCCAAAGCAAGAAGATTAACAGTGTAAACAACTGTGGTTGTAGAGAACAGCCCCCTGCACCTGCCGAATAAGCAATGTGGCAGTGATAATGATTTGATGAGATACTTCTTGATTACCTACTCTGTGCAAAGCATTTGATGAGTTCAGGAAATATTTCTGACACTCTCAGTGTGGATATTGACAGATATATGGTTAACAGTGCTGATAATAACAGAGTTAGTTATAATAATAATAGTAGCTTACACATATATAGTGCTTACCATCTGAAAGGCAGGTAAGCCTAAGCACTGTATTATATTAAACTAGTTTAATCTCATAACTCTATGAAGAGAGCACTTTACTTATCTCACTTTTGTATATGAATACATTGATACACAGAGATCTCTCTTAAGTGATTTACTCAGGGTCACACAGCTGGATAATGGTTCCCATTCTTACAGCTGTGAGTCTAGCTGTGTACCAGGTACTTTACACATATAACTAATCTTCCACAAAACCCAGAGAGTTGAGGTGGAGTTCCATTTAGTAACTTGTCTGAGGTCACACTGCTAATAGGTAGAATTCTAATTTAGACTGGCCAGATTCAAAGCCTGTTTTGTTTCCATGATATCCTGCTGTTCTTTTGACCAGTCTTGAAAGACAAACTGCAACAACAAAAAACCCCCAAACAAATCCTCTGAATCTCCTTTCCTTCTCTTACATACCTGCTGGTAAAGTTTTTATACTCAGAAGACAAAGGCAGATAGAGGAGATATAAAATTTTACAAATGTGAGGCTAAGAATGACCTTAAATTTTACCCTTAGCGTTTATAGATGAGAACTTGGGAGAAAAATTTACACAAAGCTCAGATAACTGGTATGATTTCCACAAACACAAAGACTGGCCAAGCAAACTTTTCTCTTTGAAGGCTGAAGGAAGATATTTCAATACCTAGAGGACATTAATTTATCAACAGACCCTTAAGCTTCAAAGCACTTTATAGGACATAGCACAGGCTTAAAAAATGATCAAAAGTGCTTTTAAAAGATAAAGCGTTTAGACCACAAAAGACAAGGTTAATGATTCTAAATGAAATTAATTGGGAAATGACACATGGTATTGTGAAAACTGGAAGGTGGAAAACATAAAACAAGTGGGATTTCAGACTGCCAAGATATGTAACACAAAGTGAGATTGGAGAGTGAAGGAAGAGTGAGCTGAATGCTAGAATTATTATTCTCATTAGAAAGGAGTTCAAAGTTTTCTGGTTAATGATAGGAATGAATAATAGAAGTAATGAGAACAGTTGTATTAAAATATGTTAATAATGTTAGAAAAACGTGAGCGCGAGCCAGACAGCCACTCATGATCCCCACGAAAAGGAGTTCAGAGTGAATGGTAGAAGTACTGAAAACAGTTGTATTAAAATGTGTCGATGTCAAAAAATGTCAGAAAAAGTGTTGGATTAGTTATAGCTATTCCAACTGTATTAAAAAATAAAGAAATGTTGGAAAACATCGGTTCCCACTGGCTCCTGTTATTTTTATGTCTCACATCAGCACAGGCATACCCTACCCCCATTCAATTCTTTTGAACTCTAACAGAATTTGAGAAGGGGGATGAACTTGTCTGAGCGCTGAGAAACTTATCCTGCCTCAAACTCAGAAAGTTCAGTAAACGTGAACGCTTAACAACTTCTGTCTGAATGTATTTCATGCACGAATATAGATGGGAAGTTTCTAAAGGGCATTTTCCTGAGCTGAATTATTGATCCTATTTCAGGAAGTGTACAGGCTTATATAAGTTGGTGAAAATTTAACCAAGTAGTTTTGGATGATTTTAAAGAAAGCTTTCCATTCAAAAACTGTGATTCGAACACTTTAATTTATT